TAGATTTTCTTTACATTCTTCTCAAACGGCAATTTTTTTTTGTTTTCTCTCTTCTTCACTATAGAAACCTTGGGCGAAATGGTCAGCAATTTTTTTGGCTTCTTTTTCGGCTTTGGCGAGAACTTTTTCTTTGTCCGAAATAATTGCTTCTAATTCGAAAGGCGAAATACTAATTCCCGAGCGAGTAGCATAATCAAAACTAACCTTTTTTAATTGGTCGAGAAACTCCACCATTTCCGGCCGCGGAGTTATTCTTACTAACTTATTCAAAAAAGCAATAATATCCTTTTTTTTTCAGCCGCCAAGGGGCTGATAATTCCTTCACTTTTTTTCAATTTGGCCTATCTCAATCAGGCCATTACTTCCACTGCTTTCTTCATTATATTCCTTTAAGTCACTGACATAGCCAGGAAAACTAGCCGGTAAAATTTGATTAAAAATTAATTTTCCCAAAGTAGTAAAGAGGAATTGATTCTGGGCCGTGGAAAAATTGCGACCAACGAGAATGGCCGGAATAACAATTAGGTCATGAAGGCTTATTTTACCTTTTTCATAACTCTTTCAAACATTCCCTATCTCATTGTAAAAAACTACTTTTTGGTTCTTACTTTCCCTCGTTAGATAGTAAATGCCCAAAATCATGTCTTGGCTGGGAACGTCTATCAGGTAGCCATTCTTTGGGTCAATAATGTGGTGGGGAGAGAGAATGCGTTCCTTAACTTCCTCACGTGATTTCGCAGTCATCGGCAAGTGAATAGCAATTTGATCACCATCAAAATCAGCGTTCAAAGCGGTAGTTATTAAAGGATGAAGTTCAATCGAATTACCTAACGTCAATTGGGGATAAAATCCTTGGATACTAAGTCGGTGCAAACTGGGAGCGCGATTAGCCAAAACTGGGTGTCCCTGGACGATTTTATTAAGAAGTGGGAAAATAACCGGGTCCTCTTGGTAAAATAATTGCTCGGCTTCCTTGACTGTGAAAGCAATTTTTTCTTTCAACATTTTTTGGATAATAAATGGCTTATAAAGAGTTAAAGCCATTTTGACTGGTAATCCAATTTGATCCAAGAGTAAGTTGGGATTAGGAACAATTACCGAACGAGCTGAATAATCGACTCTTTTTCCCAGCGAATAGCGGCGTAATATCCCTTCCTTACCACTTAAACTTTGTAATAAACTTTTGACTTCATTTTGTTTATAAGTTGAGCCATATCTTACTTGGTCGTCAGCCTTTTGCAGACCTCTTTTTTCATTATGAATAATATCGCGGAAGAAAATTCCAAAATTTTTATTTAAATCAAGGTAATATTCTAATCTTTTGCACCGCAAAATTATTCGATACAAAGAATTAGTATGCTGATTAGTTGCCAAAACATCTTCTTCTTTTAACTTGACTACCGGCCGCAAGCCACAAGGAATAACCAGCATTTTATTAGTAATCATTCATTCGAGTTTTAATCCGGATTTTTGTAAACCTCGCAAGAACTTTAATTTTTCTTGGTTAACCTTATGGTGGGATTCTTTAAGGGCCTGCTTAACTTGGGCTAATTCGGCTTCTACATCAATTCCTACTAACAACTCCCGAAAGGCTTCCGTACCCGTTCAAATTTTTACTCCACAATGTTTTTCCAGAAAATCTAAGTAATCTTCCAAAAAAATAATGTCGGCAACATTTTCTTCATTTTTATCGTTCTTTTTAGTAATTTTCTGATTTAATTCTTCGGCTTCTTTAATAACATTTTCATCTAGTTTCCTCTCTTGAATAATTTCTTGAAAAATACTGCTGATAAGGGGTCGGTCTATCTTTTTTTCTAAAATTTCCCCCTTTTTTAGCGAATTAATTAAACCATTATCAATCACCACATAAGCGCGGAGGTAAATAATATCTTCCAATTTTTTGGTAGGAATTCCTAATAATTTGCTTAAATTAGTGGCTAGGGCTTTAAAGAGAACAATATTGGTTATCGGAACAGGGAGAGAAATGTGTCCTACTCGCCACCTTTGTAAATTTTTTTCCGCGATTAAAACCTCACATCGTTCACATTTTTGTCCTTTATTTTCTTTACCTTTATATTTACCACAATAGCACTCATAATTAAGAAAAGGGCCGAATATACGGGGGTCAAAAAGACCCCCTGGCTCGGGCTTGAGAGTGCGAATATTAATGGTTTTGTGGCTGGTAATATTACCAAATGAGAGTTGATTAATTCTTTGGGGCGAAAGCCAACTAATTTTTAGTGATTTTGTTAAGGTCATAGTGAGGATTATTTTTTGGGGGATTTGCGGCTAAAAGCTTCATAAAAGTCAATTTCTTTGCCTTGATAATCGAAGGCTTGGAGGTCAAAACCAATGCCGCGTAAATTTTGGAGTAAAAGATTGAAAGATTCACTCTGATTACTACGCAAGTCAACTTGCCGGTCATCGAATAATAAGGAGTTTTGAAGTAAATTTCGTTTGGCAATATCATCCGACTTAGCACCCATTATTTCATTGATATTAAAAGGTGCGCCGTGGGCTCACATTACCCATATTTCCATTTCTCCAAACCTTTGTCCACCTCCTTGGGAACGTCCCTTGACTGGCTGCTGGTAGATAAGGGAATAAGGACCGGTATTCCGAGCGTGAAATTTGTCCGCTACCATGTGGTTTAACTTAATAGTATAGATATAGCCATTGTAAACATCTTGCTGAAAAGGCAAACCGGTTTGACCGTCAAATAATTTTTGGGCACCGAAATTTTTAATCTTGGCTTCTTGAATAATTTCTTTAATTTCTTGGGGAGAAGGAGAGTTAAAAGGCCGACAGAGAAGTCTCGTGTCAAGTTTGTGAGCGGCGGAAGCCAAAATAGTTTCTAGCAACTGACCAATATTCATGCGGGTTGGGATACCGAGCGGATTAAAAATTATGTCAATTGTTTTTCCTTCTTCATCAAAAGGCATGTCGGCTTCGGGTACAATTTTCGCCACCACCCCTTTATTACCAAAACGGGTAGTTAATTTGTCCCCAACTTCGATTTTTCTTTTCTGAGCCACATAAACTTCCACTAATTCTAAATCATTCTTGCTTTTAGTAAGTTTTTTTCTTTTAACTTGGTAAACTGTTCCTGCTTCTTCGGCCGGCAATCGGAGGGAAGAATTAACGAAGCGATGGGCTTTTTCTCCCAAAATACTCATTAGCAATAACTCCTCCTCGGCTTCCTTATGAGGGCTAGGCTCCGGCGTTAACTTACCAACTAAAATATCATTCCCTTTGACCTTACTGCCAATTTTCACTATTCCATTTTTATCCAAGTGTGGAAATTGATTTTTCCCCGCGTGAGGAAAAGAAGAAGTAAATATTTCTGGTCCATACTTGGTATTATGACGAATAATGGTGTGCTTTTTGACAAAGAAAGAAGTAAGAATATCCTCTTTTACTAATCTTTCATTAAGGATAATCGCATCCTCATAATTATAACCATTTCAGCATAAATAAGCCACTCGCAAATTATAACCTAAGGATAATTCGCCATTATTAGCATAATTTCCGCAAGCAATCATTTGTCCTTTTTCGACTTGCTCGCCTTTTTTTACCAGCGGAAGCGAGAAATTAAGAATATTTTTATTGGAAACTACTAACTGCTCTAATTGATAAGTTTTTTTTTCTTTGTTTTTTTCTTTAATAATAATTTTCTGGCTGTCAACATATTCTACTACTCCTTTTTCTTCGGCTTTAACTGCTAATGGTGAATTATTCAACAGACTGGCTTCGATGCCACTGGCTACTAACGGTTCTTGATTTTTCAGCAACGTTACCGCTTGCCGTTGCATGTTGGTTGCCATTAGCATACGAGTAGCGTCATTGTGGTGAAAAAAAGGAATGGTAGCGCTAGTTACTGAGTTCAAATGATAAAAAGAAATGTAAATAAAATCTAATTTTTCTTTGGGTATTTGCACAAAATTCTCCTGATGAATAGCCAATACTGTTTCCTCCGTGATTTTATTCTTTTCATCAATTTTTAGATTAAAATGAGCGATGTATTTGTCTTTTTCTTCCTCACTGGTTAAATAAACCAAAGAAGGAATAATTATACCATCGCGAACTGGAAAATAAGGAGTAGTTATTTGTCCATCATCATTTATCCCCGCTTCAATTGTTATCCGACGGACCAAACCAGTATTTCGACCCTCGGGAGTTTCTACTGGGTCATATCGACCGCTGAAGGAGGAATCGACATTGCGGGCGGCCAAAGTAGCATTGACTGAATTACGCCCTCCTAATCCCATTACACTGGATACTAATCCATCCGAAATAACCGACAAAGCATTATTTTGGTTTTGTAAACGAACCAGCGCTGAAGTATTGAAAAAATGCTTGATAAGATTATCGAAATCCTTTAAATTAGGTATTTTCGAGAAGTCAATCTTTTTTAATTGGGAAAGATAATTAGTTAAGTATTTATTATCAATATCTTGTAAAAATCCCCCTAGTTTGTTATCAAAAATGTTGTAAACTAAATCCCCGACCCGACGGATAACTTGATTTTCTAATTTATCCTCATCCTCTTTTTTTTCGGCATTACCTAAACCATGATGTAAGTTAATATAACCAGCCACAGCACAAACTAAATCTGCTAAGTCAAAATAAGTTTTTTCGGCCGGTAATTTTTCTCCAATCCCAACCACCGGGATAATTTTCTCCTTATTTCGTGGCGACTTTATTTTAATAATATATAAGTCATTGGTTGAGTGAGGAAGAGCAATCCCACTTATTTTTTTCTTTTGGAAGGCATTTTGTAATATTTGGAGATTTTTTTCTTCGAGGATAGTATTTTTTTTTAAGATTACTTTGCCGTTATTATCGAGCAGGTTTTCGGCTAAAGTTTGCCCTTTTAGTTGTTGAATAAGGTCTATTTTTTGATTATATTTTTTACGCCCTAGTTTTCCGATATTAAAATAAGAATTGCCCTTGCTGCTTGTAAACAAAAATTGGGGCAAACTAGTTCGACCAACTCCAATTTCTAATTTATTGGCTTCTTGATAACTATCAATGTTTAAACTTTCTTTGTCAAATAAGTTCTCAAGAAGTTCAGGCGGAACATCAAAAGCTTTCAAAACATCCAATAAGTCAAAAACCAGTCCTGAATTAAGAAATTTTAATTCAATCGCTGATGGCTTTTTAGCACTGTAAAAAATACTGATTCAAGGACCTTTGAAGGGAATAATTTCGCCAAAAAATTTATTTTCCTCTTCGGCAAAATAATAAACTGCCGGGGCTCGAACGGACTGAAAAACTACCACTTTATTATGACCATTGATAATGAAACTTCCTTGCTGGTTCATTTTCGGCAAATGGCAGAAATCTACTTTTTGGTCTTGCTCGCAATGAAACTTAACAATTAACTTGTCCTCTTCTTTTTCTAATATTTCCAGAACTACTTTTAAACTTCCTTTGGTTTCTTTTATTTCTCATTGGTGAGAGGACTTTTCCTTACAGGTAAACTTTTTGATTTTGAAGCTTTCTTCTACCCATTGATTAATGCTTTTTTTTAGGTCATTATCCAACAATTCAATCTGTATTTTGTGGCAATCTCAGGAAACTTTCCAATTAAAAGAAACTAAATAATTCCAAGTGAGAGACTCCGCCCGTGCTGTCTCTTCCGTTATTTCTGGCTCTTGATAAACAAGTTTTTCGACATTTATCTTGATATCATTATTATAATCACTGAATTCAGCCGGAAAATAAAAAGATAATAACTTAGGTAATCTTTCATGAAGAAATTTTGAATAAGATAATTTTTGTTCTCGGGCGTAATCTTGCTCTGGTAAACCTTGAAAAAGGGGCGAGCGATTAACAGTTAGATATTCTCGACGTGGATTTTTCCCCGAATTGATTATTCGATATGACATTAATTAAAATTATTTAATTTCAACTTCAACTCCTTTCTCGGCTAATTCTTTCTTAACATCTTCGGCTTTTTTTCGCGCAACATCTTCGAAAATAATTTTATCTTCTTTTTCAGTGAGTTTTTTTGCTTGAATAATGTTAATCTCCTCATCTTTTAACTTCTTAAAAGCTTCTTTAATTGCTCCATAACCCGCAATCGCACTTAATCCTTCTTTCATTTTTATAAACTTTACGGAAACATTACCTCCTTTTTCTTCAGATTTTTCACTTTCTTGGATAGTGGCTGTTGGTTGAACTATTGCTGTTTCTTGAATATTATAATCTTCTTTTAAACCTTCTATTAATTCACTTACTTGCCCTAAATTTAATTTTTTTATGCTTTCTTTGATTTCGTTGACTTCTTTGCTAATTTTTATTTCTGACATATTTTTATTGTTTTACTTCGTGAGATGCTTGGACTTTTTCTAAGATGTTAACCAGTCTTCGGGCCTGAAAATTAAGATAATAGCAAAGAGTATTTATTAAGATTTCTTTGCTTGGCAAGTTAGCCCATTTTTCCAGCAGAGTATTTGTTACTAATTGTTGCTCGTAAATACCACCTTGAAATCGTTTAATATTAGAATTTTCTTTATTGAATTGGTTGAGAATATTTAATGGTTTGTATTCATCCTCCTGACAAAAAATTAAGGCATTGGCTTGCTTTAATTCTAGCGAATAATCAGAGAGCGCTTTTTCTACTAAACTATTTTTATAGACTTTTCACTGCCCGCCCACTTTTTTTAATTCTTTTTTTAACTTAAAAATTTCCCTATTTTCAGCCTGGTGAAAATTGTAAAAAATAACTGCCCTGGCTTGTTGAAAATTGGTTTGGATATCCCGGACAACTAATTCTTTTTTGGTGGCAGCAGACATATATAATATTATTTTAACTTAATTTAACTTCCGTGAGTTGATAACTTTTTGCTTAACTGATCTTTTTTGAGTCTTGTATTTAGTTTAACTAGAACATCATCCTTAAAGCGAATTCTTAGACAAGTAAGTTGCGATTATTCTTAATTTCTTTTTGTTCAATACTGCTTTACAAAATCCCAAATAATCATTATAATACATATCTTTTAAGCAAGCAGAACAAATATACTTATCCATATTTTCTTCTTTTTCGGTCCAGTAGCCTCAGTTGTTTTTCTTAACCCAATCTTTTTGAGGTGGACAATATTTTACCAAAATAGTACTTTGGCACCTTTGACATTTTTTTTCTAAAACTCTTTTAGGGTGAGCCATATAATTATATATTTATTAATTTTATATGCTATTTTAATATCTTTAACCCTGGACCCATAGCAGTAGAAAGAGTTATGCTTTTAAAAAAATCACCTTTCCAGCCCACCGGACGTAAACCAGTTATTTTATTATATAATATTTTATAGTTTTCTTCCAATTGCTCGGAACTAAAATCACTATTGCCGATTACGGCGTGAATATTACCCCCCTTATCATTCTTTATTTCGGTTTCCCCTTGTTGAAATCTCGTAATTTCTTCTAATATATTTTCGGTTAAGGAACCATTTTTTTTAGCAGGATAAATTCCTTTAGGACCTAATAATTTTTGTAGTGGTTTAATTGTTTCTTCGCCAGCCGAATGGGCTAATACTTTATCAAATCCTCATTGGGATTTCTTTTTGTTCCCTACTTTCTGACGAACTTCCGAAACAGTTAATAACTCAACTTCTTTAATCTTTTGGCAGTTTTCTTGAATATTTTCTGGTAATCCTTCTTTTATTACAGCAATTTTTCTTTCTTTTTTAACCATGTGAGGGAGAATTAATTTGGTTTTCAACACGGTTTTTTGATTAACCCAATGGAGGGAAAAACTGGCCTTAATGTTTTTTAATTTTTCGGGATTATTATCACGCAAGAAATTTACTGCTTCAGACAAATTATAGTGCTTATTATTGGTAATTTTTTCCTTAACTTCTCGATAACGACGGGAATTCTTCATTGTATATTAATATTATTTTTACTTTATATCTGTATCTGGCAAGCCACTTAATTCCTCTAATAACTGCTGATTAAGATAGATTAATTTTTGGGAGCAGGTTTGAATTCGGATAAAATAATAAAGAAAAAAGAAAAATTGAATTATGAAAATAATTAATACTACCTTTTTCACAATTAGTGTCCGCTTTTGGGTTCTTGGTAAGCACTGATAATTTTTGATTACTTTGAATTAATTTTACTAATATCTTTTCTTACTCCTTCTAGTCAGGAAGTAAATAATTCCTCCCACAATCACTATTCCACCAATTATTAACAAAGCAATCATTCCGCCACTTATTCCACCTTTGTTTTTGCCTGAACCATCCTCACTTAAATTACCATACCTACTTCGATAATTATCTTCGGCTCTTTGTAAAGTATTTCGGTGCAAATTTCTTAAATAAGCTTTTAGTTGTCTTTCCTCGGGAGTTAAATTGTTTTGTCTGGATGAACCAGATTCTGATTCTCTCACTACTTCCCTTAAAAGCAAGACTTCCCTCCTTAAACCTTCTCTTTCTCAATCAGTATTTTGGTTAGGATTAGTCTCTACGTCTAATTCTGGTGGGAACATTTCTACCTGTCTTAATCTTTGGGCCTCTTCTCACTTTAATTCGCGGTAAGTGACATGACATAAAGGAGAACAAAAGGCTTTTTTTATTTCATAATCTAATAATCAACCTCTTTTCATGTGTGGAAATTCTCTCTTTTTACATTGGGGACAAGTCTGTTGATTGGCTTCTCGGTATTTTCTAGCACAATCACAGTTAGTTCCAAATCAGATTGAACTCTCGCGAGTAAAGTCTGTTTTATGCTTGATATATCTTTTTCTCTTTATTGTGTAAGAGGTTTTATCCTGGTAAACTATACAAGAAGCACCACATTGTTCACAGAGTTCATTGGATTTAGGTTTTTTACCTTTGTCAATGGGTTTCTTGTCATACTTGTCAGGTAGTGGTAATTTGTCTCTCTCTCTCTCTCTCTTGGTCTTTATTAGCAAAGCAAGAGTCACATAAAAAGTCAGGGTTGACACCATCCCGACCATACATTATCTTGAGTTCGAGTTTAGTAAGATCTTTATTACACTTTTTACACTTATGACCTGAAAGTTGTTCTCCTTCATCTTTAGAATGGTAATTATTAGGTTCAGGATTTTTAAAGTCTCAGCCACCATTATTATAACCTGGGTAGCGTGTGGCGTCACATTGGCAGGGGAGAGGGTTAGACAAATTTAATGGATTACAAATGGGACAACCAGAAGATTGATAATTATTTTGACACTTGGTGCTACAATAAAGGTTGCCATCTTTTTCATAAACAGTTTTTCCCAGAGACTGTTGGCACTTATCACACTTAAAACAATTTAGGCAGTATTTTCATTTTTTTTCGTCTACTGTGGCAATGGGTTCATTCCCCAAAACCTTTTTACATTTGTGGCAGATATTTTTAGTCATATAGTTTATTTTAAATTTATAAACTCATTATGAATTCATAAAAACAGAAAGAAGTTAACCTTAAAATAGATATATAGTAATATAAAAATTTAGTAAAAAAATATGGCAAACAAGAAAACTAATATGACATTAAACAGTAACAACTTGGAACAGTTTAATAAAAAAATAAAGATTATTTTGGATAATCATAAAACTACTCCTTATGAGAAGAAGATTGCTTTGTTTAAAGTAATAGAGAATTTAGAAGTAGGGGAAATGCCACTAGAGAAGAAAAAAAGAGCAGACTATCTTTTGCAAGCTCATTTGTATGCTGACTTAGCTAAACAAAGCATGAGAGACTATAAAAAAGTAACCGCAGAAACTTTTAGCAATTCCAAACAATCTAAACAACTCTAAATATTGAATATGACAAATAAAAAAGAACTAAAAACAGCAAGCAGAAATGGAGGGGGATTGGTTGTTGAAAATAAAGTATTTCAAGAGATAAAAGAAATAAAAAAATTACAAGAGCAAACAAATACTAATGTTAGAGAGATAAAAAATGTTCTTAACGGTAACAGAGAAAAGAATGCCTCTTTTCTAGAAAAAAGCAAAAAAGAAAATAAAAAAAAGGATGTCAAAATAGTTAATTTGGAAGTTCAAGAAGACAAATTAGTTGCTCAATTAAGTGATGGACGAGGAGCAATTATTCCCATTGACTGATTTGCTAAGTGGGGTGTTAAGAATATTACAGCAGACAAGTTAAAAAATTATGAGATTTGACGAGGTAAAAACATTCACTTTACTGATATTAATGAAGTGCTAGGTATTGAGAAGTTTATTCATGGCTTTGACGCCCCTTGCTAATAATTTATGCCAAGTAAGAAAATAAAAGGTCATTGATGTTATTTAAAGGTCGGTGATGTGGAAAAGAATAAACCTATCCATATTCATGTAAAAGCTTCGCGGGGTGAGGTATCTTTTTGAATAAAGAAAAATGGTAAAAAGTCTGAATACCAATTAGAACTGAAAGCAATTGAAGGTCAAGTTAATGACCATGAAAGAAACAAAACTGAAAGAATTGTTAAAGATGATGTTGATTTATTTGTAAAATGATGAAAAGATATTGAAAAAGAAAAATAAATAACTTGTTTATTATTATATAAATGTGTATAACCCATGGAGTATATTGCTGAAATTACTAACGAGGAGAAAATGAGTAAGCAGTTTTGAAAATATACTTTTGCAGATAAAAAAACAGATAAAACAGATTGATTTCTAAATAATTATTCAATACCTTATACTCGTGGTTTGGTAGGTAAATTAAAACTCAAATGGGATGAAAAAAGGCAATGTTGACTTTACGATGACTTTAATCAAAACATTGATGATCTTAAAGATGTAGAGGATGAAGGATTGAGTTTCGGTTTATGAGAAGAAATCTTTGAGAAGAAGATCAAAGAGGTAGAAAATGAACTTACTCGTAAACCACCCAAACTTTTTAAAACTCATAAAGAATTTATCGAGCATCTAAACCAAAAACGAAAAGAGTTAGGTTCTTGGGATAAAGTTGCTGAGGAATATCATAAACCAGTTCGAACTTTGAGGAGATGAAGAAACAAACCTTTTCGACCTAAACAAAAAAGAGGACCAAGGTTCAAAATTGACAAAAAATCTTTTTACCATTTAATCCGTTCTATCCAAACAGAGGAAGCACAAACATTAAAGGAAGTATCTGATTACATTGTAAAAAAAGATGGTCCACTACTAAGTGAATCCACTATTCACAGAATACTAGAGAAAATTAAATATTCTTACCATGGAGTTCATTATCGTAATCCAAAACAAAAGCAAACTTTGGCTGAGGCTTTAGATTTCATGGAAGAGGTCAATAAATTGACCCCACATCTCATTTTATCCACCGATGAAAGTGGTTTTCCTTTAAATTTGGCTCGTAAGAAAGCATGAGGGCCAAAAGGCAAAAAGATTACTCGCTTTAAAACACATTATGCCACTAATTACACCCTACTTTTACTGATTAGGAATACAGATAAAGGAGGAATAATTCATTGGGATTTGTTTAAGGGAGCAGTTAACACTGAGATTTTTGTCAATTTTATTAACAATGTTAAACTTCCTACTGATGAAAAATACTATCTTTTAATAGATAAACTTAGAGTCCATGAAGCTAAAAAGGTTGAAAAAGCATTAAAAAATAAAAATATAGAGCCAAGATTTATAGTTGTAGCTAATCCTTGATTAAATCCTATTGAGGAAGTTTTTCATGTAATTAAGAAGTATGTTGAAAGTCAAGAACCAAGGACATACGAAGATTTGAAAAAAGTTATTAGTGAAAAAATAAATGAACTCCAAGAAAAAGGTTTAACCAAGTATTTTAAAGATTGTTTAGATTTTGATTTTATCTTGAAAAGCGGACACTAATTGTGAAAAAGGTAGTAAAATTCAATCAAAAATATAAGAAAACTTATCCCACCCATCAGCATTATACCAACCGATTTTGTGAATTTTTTTTATTCCGGAATATTTACTTGATTTAAAGGAAATTACTGCAAAAAGACCGAGTCAAAAAAATATATTAAAAAAACATTTTTCCCTTTCTCTTTCTCAATAAACTTTTCGTCGCACTAGTTTTATTAATCGAGCCTTATCCATAGAATTTTAGGATTTAGTTTTCTTAACGGTTTTTTCTTACTCACTTTGAACTTTACTATTTTCTTTTTGGTGTCGCGGGTTTTTTTAGTCATAATTACTTGCTTTTATTTAAAGACTACTTTTTGTTCCTAATGACCCGACAACGACCTATCTATCAATCATTCCCTGACTCTTTTTCAGTGGCATTTTCTTCCTTTGAACCAGTCAACTTATCTCAGAATGTCACCACTAATCCAACTACTACTACTAATACTAAAATTCCTCCACCAATATATCAATATTTCCATTTATCTCAATGTCCTTCAGTAGTTAGATTGCTTCCTGAATCCTGACCCTTGGCCGCAAATTGATGAGTTTGACCTGTCTTTTTCTCAAACAGATACCTTACCATTGCTTCTTTAGTATATTTACCATCTTTCTTGGGATAAACTTTCTCGTCTAATTGTTGTTCTTCAACATTCTTTCTGGTTTTCATTTCGGCTTCTGTTTCATTCCGGAAAGTATCATCTTTTATTTTATAACTGAAAATGGCTTTTACTACTACTTCAGCCTTTTGGGTTGACAAAAAGTTATCCACTTTTTCCTCAGGGGTATTACCCACTGGTTTATTTTCGTCTGGCATTTCCTCCAAGATTTTAGCAAAGTCCGCTTCCTTATCTTTAATTTCTTCCAGGAATTCTTGAATTTGTTCCGCTGTTCTCAACTGAGAATCAGCGCTGTCGTAAGACTGCCAAGACTTAACCACTTTGGGCTGAGGTTTAACAGAAGTATTGCTGAGGACAGTTTGAATCACTTGTTCTACTTTCTCATCGGTTAATTTTTCCTTTGGTGGTTCTTTTTTTGGCTCCTTAGCCCTTTCTGCGTCAATTTTATCAGTTAATTCCTTTTTCTTACTATCAATATCGGTTTTATTATCTTTATCCTCAAACTCTTTTTGTCAATCAGCACCTAGAACCTCCTCCATCTTTTTTCCATTGACTGTGCCAGTTTCTGTTTGGTCGCTGGATTTAGACTTTCAATGATTTTTCACGGCTGTGATAGCAGCAGCTCGAGCCACTGCTGCGTCAAAAGGAATAAGTTTTTTGGCTTCTCTAAGGGCAGTAATTGCTTCTTTAACTTTACTTTCTCTACTGCTTACCTCAGCAGTCGTAGTAGCCGCCTCAATATAACCCTTTCAGTCCTTTATGGTTGTGCCATCAATTAAATTAGCATCAGTTTTATTCAATTGATTTTTTACTTCTTCATCAGTTAGTTTAGTTTTATTATCTGAAGTATCATCCATTAGAGCCTGAATAGCATTTATCGCAGTAGTTTTGGCATTGTCTAATCTTGCTGCGTTATCACTGTCAATTTTAGCCTTTTTAGCAGCAATAATGCCCGCCGTGTTAGTAGCATCATAGTCTACACCATTATATTTTACCTTATTACCTGTTCCTTTACTTAATTCAGAACCGAGCACTTGGGGACTACCATTATAAAGCGCGGCGGCTTGTTGGGCTGTTAAATTTTTGTCAAAATAAGCCAAGATACTTGGATTAGAGGCTGTGGATGAGGCACCAGAAACAGTTTTGAAGTAGGTGATAAAATTTCACACTGCTTTGGTGTTAGCAGCATTAGCTCAGTCAAAGTTGTGTCAATTAGCTCCGCCATCGTCAGTGATTTGGTGTGTTCCATCATCTTGTAGACGGATTTCATTGGCATTTCAACTGCCATTTTTTGCTGTGGCTCCTTCGGCACCAGTTGTGACGTGAGTTGTGCCGTCGGTGCTGGTTTTACGGTAGGCTAAGATGTTAACATTCGTTTCCCCATCGTAAGCATTAGGAGGATTAGCGGCGGCTTTGAAAGCAGCGATTCAGTTTCGGTGGGTTCAAATGTCTTTAGTGTGGTCCGCTAAATGTCAGTCAAAGTTGTGTCAATTAGCTCCGCCATCGTCAGTGATTTGGTGTGTTCCATCATCTTGTAGACGGATTTCAT